AATTTTATATATAATTTTATTTATTTATATATAATTTTATATATAATTTTATTTATTTAACCAGGAACCTTTATTTAACACGCAAATATCCCACTGAGAGTCTTGGCCAAACGCCAATATAAAATACAATTACATATTGTTCACAGAATTTTAAAACAATTTTAAAATCTAGTGAAAACCAAGTGGATGCTGTAGAGTTTGTCTCAAAAACTCCCAGCTTGTGTTTAAAAAATGTGTCACTAAATTAAATCAGTAAGTTTCCAGCCTTTTTGGAGCATATTCCATGCACAAGGAGCAAGCTATTTTAGCCAACTCTTTATGAGGGTGGTGGACCAAAAGCAGCAAACAAACTTAAAATTCAGCATTTCTCAGACTCATTAAGGCACAAATATATGAAGGTTGTAATTCCAATACTGCCTTAGTAATAAAAGTGTACCAATTTAATCAAAAATATTGTAGCGATGAAGCCACGTACTTCATGGCATGCTTGTCTATAGTTACTGTAATGGTATGAAATTGAAAGTATGATGTCTTTGAGATGGAAGCGCAAAGGAACAGAGAATCACGGGCTCAAAAGAACGTTGCAGATGAAAGTGTCGGAGTGCTTCGAGGATTCAAGGTTAACTTCAGCAGCCAGATACTGTGTTGGGTGGCTGGGAAAGAGCTGTGGCTGATAGCAGCTTCTGAGTGAATGGGGATTCTGTTTCTGGTAACCGCTTGTGGGAATAAAACAACTGAAGGGCATCATTAATTTTGTCGTACACAAAAGAGGGCATTACAGTACAATTCATAATGGTGAGTGGACATCTTACAGTTAGTAATAAACCTGAAAGAAACATGATAAACAGTATCAATTTTCCAAAGACATTTTATAGCAGCATTCGTTCAAGAAATATGTCCAGAATCCAACACTTGATTCTAGCAGCAGAAATTGACATTAAATACCATTCCAGTTGTAACAACAAGACACAGAAAATCGGTTTTACGTCAGCCAATTTACATTTGTGAACATAAAACTTCATTAGAAAGACAATGTGATTGAGACATGAACTTGCTTGTGCACTGTGGTAAGTGGATTTATGATGACTCTATCATTTATTTGCGTTATAGAAGTATGTCTGCCACATCTAATATGGCGAAGGCGCTGTCGTATTACAGCAACGTGATAACCCGCTCAAGGTGTCTTGTCTCTGAGCTGCATCATGGGGGGGGGGGGGGGGGGGGGAGGACATCCGGGCACTCAAAGTCTTCCACTTCCGTCCACCACTGATGACGTTTTGCGAAGCCACAAGGAGCAGCAACAGCTCAGCTGTCCGTTTGGCGGCCAACAAACCCCAAAAACACAACCAATGTGTTGACGGAACGGGGCATTCTTTTCCTCCTCAAATCACCGGAAGTCGAGGAGCGTGAAACCTCAAGTCCGGCTGCCGACTGAGGAGTGAGAGCCACATGAAAAGGTGCCGGGTCGAGCAGCGAAGAGTGATCGCGACCAGGTACAGAAGCTAACCGCCATAGCATGCTAACATAACATAATCATCAAACATGATCAAATGTAGTATGGAGAAGATCAGTTTTCTGTTATTATGGACGGGCCGGATCCAATCTCCCACTGGCATAGCAGTTAAATTAACCGGCTAATATAACTCCCTACCTGGTGATGATTAAAAAAAAAAAAAAATCCCTATTATTCGAGTGTTTGTGTTTTCCTGTAACCATTGCCTCACACTGAATGTTTTTATTGCCTTCAAATAATCACATATGATGTAAACGTCACTTTTATTTGACAGAGTTAGCTTCTGCTCCCATTAGCTCACGCTAAATAATCATTCTCAACAATGACAAACGATGTTCGATTTTGCACAAGACACTGTGAATAAGATAAGAAAAGATAAGAAAACCTTTATTAGTCTCGCAATGGAGAAATTCCCAATTTACAGCAGCAAAGTTATGAATGGAAGAAGTAGACCAACAAAATATAGGAGCTGCTGGAAAGCCAGCCACTCATGCGGCGCCATCTTGAAGTCAAAATAACAAAAATAACACAACACAACACACAGGACACAGACAGTCGTGCAATCTTCACCACTTTCCTCCATACACTTTGTTGTCTGAAGCAGTTATAGATGAAAGAGGAGAGGATCAAAGTGTCCTTTTCCCAGTGGATCAGAGACGTCATGCTGAAAAGGTGCACGTCTGCTACAAGCTAAGTTTTCAGGTGTTTGTGTCTTTCTGCTGCAATTTGGTCGCACGAATATTGTTTTTCTACAAACGATGACTAAGTTGCATCTCTTGTGCGGTCAGGTGATGGCCCCCACGGCTATGAAGCTGCGTGTTCGCCGCCGCAACACCAACAACAACAACATTAACCATGGTGACCGACCGCCCGAGGAAGCGGAGAGGAGCCGAGGAAGTCGCAGGAGGAAGAGGACGAGTGCCGAAACGCAGGCCGCCGCATCGCCTCCTCCTGCGCCGTCGGCCCGAGCAGCTCTGACGTCGGCGGAGGCGTCGCCCGATTCCAAGTGTCCCATCTGCCTCGACCGCTTCAACAACATGGCGTATTTGGACCGCTGCCTGCACCGCTTCTGTTTTCCATGCATACAGGAGTGGTCACACAACAAGGCCGAGTGTCCACTCTGCAAGCAGCCCTTCACCTCAATATTGCACTCAGTTCGCGCCGAGGACGACTTCAAGGAGTACACGTTGCGGCCAACCCCAACTGGCGGCAGTGTGGCGGCCACGGTGGCCATGGTAGCCGCCATGGCATCGGCGGCGAGGAGTGACCAGTTGAGGCTCATGCTGAGAAGGCACCGGGTGGCTGACGCCACCGAGCCCGCCACCAGGAGCCAGAGGAGGGAAGCAGGAGGTGCGGGGAGGAGCGAGGACGAGCAGGGGGTGTGGCAGTGGTATCTGGACGTCCCGCCACTTCCTCTGGTCCCGCATCATTCGGACCAGGATGGCGATCGCGGCGTCATATTTGAAGGCCTGTCGGGTCTCGGCGAAGCCGTAACTGGCCGAGCTTCGCAACGCCTCGTTACCCGATTGGCCGCCAGGCTGCGTCTACAGCGAGAAGGGGTGGCGGTGCGGCGTCTGAGGGAGGGCGAGATGGTGGCCTTTCGACGCGCCCTCTATCGCGGCGGCATCCGCGTGCATGGCGTGGCGGGCGCCGGCGCCACCCAGCCGCAGCGAGACATTTCGGTGGATGGCTTCCGCCGGGACCCCGGCCAGCTGAACAGACTGCGGCCTTGGCTGAGGCGCGAGCTCACGGTGCTGTACGGCTCCCATGGCTCGTTGGTGGATGTCGTGCATCGTGTCATCGCCGCCCGAATGGCTCGCCGTGGCTTGGAGGACGCGGCCGCAATGGAGGAAGAACTCCAGCCCTTCCTGTTGGCGCAAACGCAGCACTTCCTCCACGAGCTGCTCTGCTTCGCCCGCTCGCCGCTCGGCATGGACGAGTACGACTTACACGCCGCCTACCATCCGCCACCCGCAGACGGCGGTGGCTCCACTTCCAGCTCTGTCATCACCATCTCTGAAGAGGAGGGGGAGGAAGAGGGGGGGCAGCGGCGCAACGAGCAGACGCCAGGCCCCTCGTACTCGGCCACGGTGACGTCGCTACCCTCGAGCCCTGCCGCGCGGGAGGATGAAGGGGAATGTATGATTGTGGGCTACAAAAAGCCCATGGCCGAGCGCACGCCGGAGCTTGTGCACCTGTCGTCCGACTCGGAGCGCTCGTCGCCCGCCGTCCCGCCCTCTACCTCGACCGCCTGCCTGGAGAAGAACCCCGCGGTGGGTTCGGTGAGTTCAGTCTGCACCCTCAGTCCGTCGCCTCGGACGCCTGCTGACAAAAAGAAGAAGAAAAAGAAGAGGAGGAGAAGCCGGGAGCGTGTGAGGAAGAGCGGCACTTTGGCCAATCCCAACCGCTCCATTTATCCCGCCATGATGCGCTGCCTTTCATACTCCAGCCTGGAGTCGGGCTCTCCGCTAGCCCTCAGCCCGCCGGACTGCGGCTGGGCATTCTCCTCGTCGTCATCCTCCTCCTCATTATCCTGTTCATCTTCCTCTTCCCCCATCTGCTCCTCTTCGCCACCGCCGCCATCCCCTCTCTCACCGTCGCGCTCCGGCGGAGAGAAACCCAGCGGGAAGAGGAAGTACAAGAGCCGACACCTGGACGAGCGCAGCCACTCCGGCAACAGGCAGCGAGGGGCGGGGCGCAGCAAGAGAAAGAGCGACACCGGCAAGATGGCTGCTGGCAGCAACAGGTGAGAGCTTCCCACCCTTTTTCTTTGCGGCCGCCGACACCTGAATGTACCCGGACCCCGCCTTGAGTGCTAATTTGTACGGTTGTATTGACGTGAAGCCCGTTTAAACCCCCACCCGCCCCTTCTTTTCCCCTCCCGCAGCACAAGAGGGCTCCAACATGAGCGCAGTCCCAGCGTGGAGATCGTGTTCGAAGGCACCGCCTCACCGAAGCGGCATCGTGAGACTCAGCGACCCGGAAGGTAAAAAAATGTAATCAAATAAAACAACCTTATAATTACCATGACAACCAATCTGTGAAAGCCACATTTTCCTTACAATCAGAATCAAATGACAGAAAAATTCTCGTGAACATACATGACACATAAAGTGCAAGAAAATGAATAGATAAGTAGATAGATCGATCAATCGATCGATCGATTGATCAATAGATAGTCATAAAGAAGTTAAGAGCTGGTAGGAGAGTAATAATGGCTACCTCTCCAAGTTTCAAAGTAGTGACCCACGCACCAGCGAAAACTTATTTGTACAACACATACAGTAGTACCAGAAACAAACCAGTTTTTCGAGGCGCCCTTTGGGTTTTTTTTTTTTTTTTTTGATTTTTGTTGAAAGCTAAAATTTGAGCCCCAAGCAATCTTCACATACGCCGTCGCTGGTGCGATTAAATGACTCACCGCCATCAATCGCACTTGTCTGGCAGGATGCCGCCCGTCATCACGCTGGACAGCAGCGACGACGACGAGTCGTCACGTCTTCCCGCCGCCCCGTTGCTGAGCTTGGACCGCGCCGGCGTCTCGGACACCTTGGCGGACGTTAAGGACGTCAGCTTTTCAAATCAGGAGCGAGCGGCCGTTTGCCAGGTAAGAAGCGACCCTGCCCCGCTGATGCCGGCGCCGCCACTCAAACTTCTGGATGAAGGCAACGAGGAGGAAGAGGCCAACTTTTTCCCACCCTCCTCATCCCTTGACTTCCTGTCTCACACCACTGACCTCTTCCAAATCGACCCGGCTCCCGGAGATGACCTCAGCGCCCTTCCCTCCCCTTCCATCAGTGCCCCGCCCTCCCCTTCCTTCAGTGCCCCTCCCTCCCCTTCCATCATGTCATGCCCCCTCTGATGTCACCGCACTCTTCTTCCCAATCACGTGACTCGAATTGTGCTTTTTGTACTGCCTCTTGACGTTCAACCCTGTTTCCATGGAAACGCGCCCAGGACTCCATTCAAATGCCATTCATGTGTTCATTTGTGGCCACTGGATGGCGCACCGAGGCTTCAAAATATGGCGAACATGTTTTCTAAGTGCTTTTAATGTGAAATTGGGTAGCAGTGAGTATGTGGATGACCACACGCACGCACGCATACACACTTACACACACGCACAAACTTGATGACAATAAACACTTTCAGGGGATTTAAAAGGTGTCCGTCATTGTGTGGAAGCATTTCCCCGCCACGCCCACATCGGCGCACACAAGTGCCGGTCCATTGTTAGCAGTTTCCTAGCAACAAAGCGCTCTGTTGTCAAGGACGACCAGCGTTCTGCCTCGCCAAGTATGGGGGGTTGACGAGCACACACGCTATGATGCAATGCTTGATGCGCACGCGCGTCAGGCATTGCTGACACTTCCTCGTTCCTTGTTGTCATTTTGTCTTATCCATGATCACATTTGTGGTCCTTGTAGTCCGCCTGAGGAAAGTTGTGGTCGTTTGCCGCGCGTCCCGCACCAAAGTCTTGCTGGACCATTGACAGCAGGTGAAGAAACAGAAGTCGTGTGGTCCGTTGAGGTTGTTCACACAATGTCGTCAGTGACGGCTCGTCAAGTCCGTGTATCTTTCGTTCGATGACATTTTCGATTGGCAACAAATCAACAAAAATGACACAGTGACTGATTAGTTATTTCTTTTTTAATCCTTGACCAAAAAAAAAAGAGAAAACAGCCTGATTTTTCATCATTTTAATTCAGGGCCTCAAATTATTCTAATTCTCAATTAAGCTGTATGGTTTTATTAGTGTTTTTTTTGTTGTTGTTTTTTTAGTAGATTGGATTAAAAAAAATTTTTTTTCATGTCAATCCCTTGACCCAATTTCAAATTTCCACTGCAGTAAAAGCACAAGAAAGTGATTATGATTTCCTTCCAGTGGTCAGAAAATCTGCAAAAATATTGATCGGTATTTTCCAAAGTAAAAGGAGATGCTTGCAAATATCTTATTTGGATTCAACACAAAAAGATCACCAATCTGCTCCCGAAATCTGGACGACAGAAATCGGAGAATATTTACTGTTGAGAGACTTTTAGAATTTTAAGGATTTGGACAATTTAAAAAATTAATGTCTCTAAACGATCAATCGAAGATCAAAATAGTTGTCGATTAATTTTATGTTCGATTAGGGTGCCAATTGATCGATAAATGTACCTCGAAATCCAACACCAGTGTAACAGTGCCGTATATGTTTTTTTTAATAATTCAATTTGAGGCTCCAGATTAACAATGCGAAATGTAAAAAAGCTCCGATTGAATTTGATTTGAATATTTAATTGGGTTTGCGTGACGTTGAAATTTGGGAATGATCATTACTAGCACGTTAGCTGCCACCACCGCAATCCGTGGGCTTTAATATTTTACTAGAATTTGTTTTGTATTTTCCTCAGCCTGAAATTGAAATATGAAAAATATAATGTTTGCGTCAGATTAAAAACAAACAAAAAAAAATCACAAAATAATCAGTCACTTTGTCTTATTTTTGAGAAAGAAGGAGCGACACACGGATTCTCCACCGCAAGCAGCCAACGGGCGGGCAGCTCGTGCCCTAACTGTCCTCAGTGCAGTGCCAACGTGCCAGCGCAGCTTCCTGTTTGAGCCCCGGGCGCCGACTAGAAGAACCACCGGAAAGCCTCGCCGGTCGGGACAGATGGCGGCCTCTGCAGAGGGTTATGGAAAAAAAAAATGTGTGAGCAAATCCATAAACCTTCTGACCACACACACGCGCTCACATATGCCATGTCGTCACTCATGCTAACGCCACGGCTTCAATTAGCGTGTAATTGACAAAGATTAGCCTAATGTGCTAACACGTGGGCATCCTGTCGGTGTGTGTGGGGATGGGCTAATTAGCTACGGTTTGTAGCGACTCTCACGGGAGGAAGTGAGGATGAATGAAGATGTCGTCCAGGTCCGGCAACTCTCATTAATTGAGCGGCGCACGCACATATTCACACACACGCACACACAAAGTAAAAAAATGGCAAATAAGGCCAATTTCGCCTCGTGTTTGCCCCCCCCCCCCAAAAAAAAAAAATTACATTAACTGGTTCAAAAAGTTGTTTATTGTAACAACATCATATTCTGGTTAAAAATTATTGATAATTCTTGTTACCTAACCCAAATATTTAACTCATTCACTCCCAAAGACGTTTTTAAACATCTTTTCAGACTTGGTCTCGAATTGGCTGGTACTGAATGAGTTAAGATACAAAAATGAAAACTGCGCGAGCCTGGCATTGGATGGACAGAGAATGACGCAATGGCGATTGGTGTGTGAGTCAGTGAGGGCGGTGCCTTCAACTTTGACATTCCATTTTGAAAATTTAATGTTCGTTTGGATTCCTGTGCATTTGTCCAAAATCAGGAAATGAAATTTATTATTATTAATGTTATTATTATTATTATTTATTAACTAGAATTCATCTTTAAAAAGCTTTTGCTTCTTATGGATTTTACATCAGAGCATTTAAATCAATCTTGAATCGAATCACCAGCTAAAGAATCCAAATCGAATTGAAGAGCAACCTTAATGGTGAAAATGCTCGGTCGGCTGGAGTCGTCGAACTTTTGAGACCTCGTGCCCGCGCGTGTTGGCGTTTAATGACATCACGGGTTCCCAAGCCCAGCCTCACCTCGATCGCCCCTCCTCCGCCTCCCCCCGGCTTCTTCTTGAGTTCCTCGCACTTCCTGAACTTGCAGATCTGGTGGCCCGTCTTCCTGTTGCGGCAGGACGAACACACGCCGCAGTTGATGAGCCGCCGGCACGGTCCGCACACGCCGCAGCGCTTCCGCTTCCTCTTAGACGACGACGATGACGACGATGAGGAGGGCGGCGACAGGACTGCGCCCCCCGTTGCCACACCTGATGATGAGGGCGAGGACGAAGAGGGGCAGGGCGAGGAGCCAGCGTGCTGCTGGCAGTCCGCGGGCCCCCGCTGGCCGCCTGTCATCTGGAAGGCGCTGCCGGCATCCGACATCCCGCCCGCTGTCGAACCCATCGCCATGACGATGACTCCCGGGGGTAAGCCCAGTCCCCCCAGGAAGCCGCTTCCCAGAACCCCGCCCCCATTGCAGCTGCCCCCCTCCGATAGGCCCATCACATCCGGGTGGGCGTGTCCTTGCTTGCCCGCGCCGCAGTCGCTCCCGCCGCTGTAGCCGGGCAGGAAGTTGGCGTTGCTGGGCGCCATGGGGTGATGGTGAGCCGTTTGGGTGACAGGAAGCGAGGCGGTGGAGTGTTTCTCAGTTCGCCCCCCGTCATCCGCCCCCCCGCCCTGGGGCATGCCGCTCCCGTGGGGATGCGAGGGGGTCATGTGACCCGCGGGTGCCGCCGGGTGGTGACGGTGGTGCGCGCCGCCGGGTTTGGGTCGGCCCCAGAAGACGGCCGCCGGGTGGTTGACGTTGTCGTGGCAGCCCCAGGGCGCCGTGGCCATGGCCCCCAGTCTGGTGGCGGCGGGGGGGAAGATGGGAGCGGCCGCCGCCAAGCGTGCCGCCAGCTTGGCCGACTGCGGGAAGTTGCCCACGTCCACGTTGGTCTTGTAGAAGCTGGCGATGGACGAGCGGTAACGGTCCATCTCGCTGCTGTAGTCCAGCATGGGCGCCAGCGTGGACACCTGGGACCACCGGGGGGGGGGCACAAACCACATCCAAGTCTGTCTCTTTTTTTGTTTTTGTTTTTTGAATTAATCATCTGCATAAAAACGAGATGATTTCAAATTCACAGTACAGAAAGCGCAAAAATAAATAGATGGAGATGCACTTACTGGTCTGGTGGCTAACATCTGTCATAAAATTGGCACCAATGTTGATCTTTGGCAAAGAAAATCTTTCATGGAGGAATTCCCCATTCAGAGAACATTTACTGTTCTAAAGATTTGGACAATTAGATGTTAAACAGGGTCCCTAAATGATTATTCGATGATCAAAATAATGAAACAGAGCTTGACGAGTCTTACGTAGTTTTGAAAATTTTTTTAATGTTTCTTTAATTACACGAATGAGACAACCTGCGTGCAGGTTATGATCCAGAGGCCGTTTCATGAAGCAAATACGGATGGAGATTTAGTTAAATATGGATTTGCGGATTATGTTTTTGACCAAGTCGGGGAAAAGAACGGCAACATGGAAGGTTTGCAACTTAAAAGATAGCAGTCACCATGGCAACCATGACATCGCATGTCATCTATCGCGATAAGCGCCACAAAGACAGCTTAAGCTCCGTTAACCGTTTAGCACGTTGATAGCTGGTCAAAGATCGACGAAGCATCGTGTCATGTCACTCATGTCAAATCAAAGGCAGTACACAGTCTGAAATTGCACGACTTGACTCAAGTGAACATTTGTCAGGGCTTGACTGGCTTAATTTGGATGCCACTGTGACTTGTCTAAAACTTTGCAATCAAGGCTTGAGACTTGTTGACAACTTGACATATGATTTGTGCACCCCCCCCTGCCCCAACCAAATTGCCCCCTCACGCAAACTTGATTTTTGCTGCTGCGACTTGCACGCAAGGTCAAGACTTGAGACTTGGGTCTCAAGTGGTCTGGACTCACCTGGCCCTGTCCTCCGTAGCCGTGGTGATTGGGGTGATGGTGCGAGGAGGCCGAGCTTCGCTGCAGCACGGACGACAGGTCGCTCTCCACGCACACGCCGCTCGTCATGCCCGACATGGCCGCCGCCCACACCTTTTGTTTACTTTCCTGCGAGGGACAAAACCCAAACACGCTGACTTCCTGTGACCTCTGACCTCCCGTGGCGGGAAGCGGCCGTGTGACAGCGCACCCTGGAGGTGGGACTAATTATCTGGTCAGCGTGACAGAAGGTCACAGCGGCCGCCGACCGTGAGAGACCTCCACTCTCCTGGGCGGCACATTAACGCCTCCCCCCCCCCTCCTCCTCCTCCTTCTTCACACCGCCTCCGCCTCCCCCTCATCCCACAGGCGCAGCAGGAGGAAGACGAGAGGGGGAGGGGGGGATCTTGAAGGCGGCTCGTAAAAGGCTAAAAAGCGTGAAGGCGGCATGCGGTGGTCCAACACGCGCACGCACGCACGCACGGACTCACGCAGAGGCAGAGGAGGAGAAGAGGAGGAGATGAGGCTACTCACCAGGCCCGCGAGGACGACAAGAGGAAGAGGAGGACCGTCTGGGAATTAGCCCGCCACGGATCATGGCTGGCGGGGAAGGAGATGGAGAGAGGAGGAGGTGGAGGAGGAGGCAGGGGTAGGAGGGAGGGTGGGAGAGGAGCACCGGGAGGGATTTGTCGGTCTGTCAG